GTAATGATGACATAATCTGTGCGTGAAAAGAAAAAAGCTATGAACCGTGCACTTTGTGATGAATATTTGTACTCTAGAGCAATTGGAATTACTTAAAATACTAGCTGATTTAAATTTTTCATCAAATAGAGATTGCTTTAGTAGATGTCAAGCAATCTTTTAACATCCGTCATATTGGTCGATGAAACTATTAACATAGTTGTAGTTTGTTTGATATTCACTGACCAAAGATGTCCATTGAACTAGAACTATTATATTGCACATTCATAACTAGAACTATTATATTGCACATTCATCTGTTAATCGAAGATTTCAAAATTTTTTTATAAGCAAATCAAGATCTTTCCAATTATAATTTTGAGAAAATGGATTAGCCGATCAAAAATGAAGGAAGAAATCAAGGAGAAATATGGGATATATCGAACTTTTTTCTCCTCTCCACATCTTCATATACAGTGGTAAAGTAATATGGGTCTTACATATTGGGTAAACTTGAAAAACTTTCGCTAAAAGGAAATTTTTGATGGTAATTTGCAGGATAACTGAATGTACCATTAGTGCCCATGTAGACTAAGAAACAAAACTAATAAACGATCGATTTGGAAAAATAATTACGGCGTTAAGTCCAGCTGCACTTTATAAGAAAACTCTATTTATTACGGAAATAAAGGGAAGAAATACGGATCTCTTTTTTCAGAGGTATTAAAACAATAAACTCAATGATTTTATCGTAGAAGCAGAACTGAATCGCAATAGATTGAGGGGAAAGGATTAACCTGAATAACACTGACTGCTGAAAGTGTTTCCTTTCATGCACCAAAATATGATGAAAAATAACCAACTAAACACATCAGAAACTTGTAGCAATAAAACTTTATAGTTGAGTGAAGACGACAAAAGGTTGCCCACTTATAAGAGAGTTATTCTGTTGTAATAACAAACAGCGTGAACTTTTTCTTCGATTTAAACAAGAAAACTAATTAAACATGTACACGTCTGGTATTTTCAAATGGTAGTGTACACGTGTAACCTAAACGCGCGCGACCCGCTACTTTTCGGCTTTCACATTGCATATTTCTGAGTCCATTCACGAGCTAATTGATTATACCTGCAATGACTGATTTAAATTATTCCAAAAATTATGAATCCAACGGAAACCAATAAAAAAAAAAATCGCTGTGGTATAACCTAAATTTCTCATATTCCGATAAAAGCGATATCCGGACTACATAGCTAACAACCTTATGAGCTCACACTTTAGGTACTTTAAGTACAGGAAGTCTAACTTGGCTGACTGCGCAGGCATACGACCATTTTAGAATTAACGTTGTCATTCAGTGGTTATGCAAAGGTAGTGGCCTATCTCGCGAAATCTAATCAGACAGTACAGTCAAAAGTTTTTTCCGTAATAGATGTTCAACCTCTCTCGACATCATCACGGTCTTGCTGTTCGTTTCGGTAGTCTGACAAAATCTTTAAAAACGGCTATTCATACTAAAATAACTAAAGTAACAGGCTTCGCCTATAGAGAATTTTTTACATACGTTCTTTAAAAAAAAGGAAAGAAAAATTACCTATCACGATCTGTTTTGTAAACACGAGCAATTTCCGGTACCAATGGATCATCTGGATTTGGATCGCAAAGAAGCGAACAAATAGACAGAAGTACTTTGGAAATGGTAAGCGCCGGCGACCACTGAGAACGCAATATATCCAGGCAAATACTACCGTTGCTGTTGATATTTGGATGATACATACGCGTCGTGAATGCTACCTTCGGCGGTTTGAATGGATAATCCGTCGGGAAATGAATCGTTAAGAAGAAGACGCCACCTAAATCCTTTTCCAAAAAGTGTAGAAAAAAACAAAATTGCATTGTTTATTTTCAAAGTTGAAACTAGCTAGAAAAGGCAGCTGTGACATTTTTAACGGTAGGTGAGAAAGAGAACGAGTAAAACAGTCACACGTTTTTAACTTTTTATTTTTAAACTTCGCCTAAAAAAAATAGCTTATCATATACTAAAATGAGACATCACAACGACCAACCAATACAAATATCACATGAGGTACTTAAACAAACTTAAAATGTCGAAACAATGAAACAATACACATCATATAAGTCTAAAATTGATATACCTTGATAGGGTGATTCCGGTGGACCCATTATTGTCGCCTGCCAATGAAACAAGTCGTCACCAACGGGGCCTGCACTACACTGTGCCGGTGGATCACGACCTAAATCCTGAAGCTCTTTCTGGATTCGCTTAAGTGCCATTTTACACTAAAGCCAATATATGTCCGGCCGGTTCCAGCACTAAAAGGAAATGTTAGTAAATAATTTTATGATTTTTCTTGTAAAAAAGATTTTCGATCGGTGATAAAAAAAAACATCAGCAGTAAGTTGAGATGAGAGAGATTACATCACCAACTCTTGGGACCTACTTCTAGGATTAAAGAGACATTAAAACTCCCCCCTCCCCAAACATCTGGTAGGTCGTAAAAATGACGTGTTTAATTGTTATAATGGATAGAGAATTTGTCGTAAGCAAAAATCATCTCTTAAAATAGATCAAAAACGGTAGAAGGAAATTCAGGTATAGAAGACTATTGAACTGCAATAAAATGGATAAGAAAAAGCATATCGAGATAGTGTTATGCAAATATCTTGCACACTTATCGAGAAATCACATTTTACAGAAGGTGTAATTCGAACCAAGTGGTTAGAAAGCACATGAAAATGTAGTACAAAAAAATTGTGACACTACATTTCAACGTAAATGTTGCCAGTTTCAAACCTGAGAAAAAAGAATAACTTCTATTCTGAAATTAAACCAGTAGCATAAAATAGTACAAGAAAACTGACTTTTCATCAGAGAGAAATGCTAACAACGCAAATTTTAGGCTGAAAAAGTGTTGGGAAACGTTCTACATAGACCGCTCCTACTAACAAGAGCCAATTTAGGTGGGATTCGATCAGGATACCATCTTATCACGACAAAGATGATTCCCTGAAAGAAAGCGTGACAAAACACAGAAATTTTAAAATTGTCACAAATAGTTCAGCAAGCTCTAAAAAACCTTAGTTTGACGGTGGACATCGGAAATTCGGATAGTTCGAACCGCTGTTTAACCTAGTGGATCAAAAGGAATGATTTGGTAAAATTTCGATGTTTGACTCCTACTGAAGGACATATTATCATTTGATCATTAAATCATTTGATAGTAAATATAAAATGTATCATGAGCTGCAAAAATGCAAACCAATGGTGGGTGGACATAAGCAAAATCTTTGTCAGTCAGCATCGAACGGAAAATGAACAAAGCACTGAAAAGAAGAGCGCTACAGCAGGGCTATACGACTATGTTAGCTTGAGATATGATCAAGATGCACTGAGAACGAGTTTGCATCATATCGCTTCCAGAAGTGCAAGTGCAAGTGCAAGTGCAAGTTCCACTCCTATGCACACGCATGGAAAAATATGTGCAATCCTTTGTATGACACGAATTTTGTTACTCAACAATAGTGTTATGTCTTCATTGGATAAGCTAAATAATATATGATATTTCTAAACAAACAACAGAGTTGATGGCAACGATGACCTTTGATCTTGGATTAAATCTCTGAGATAATATGAAACGGATGAACGAACGAGAGTGCAGACATGAAACATTTCGATCGTGGATCGATTATGACGGACGACATCCCGGAATGTCGAAGAGATACCACCCATTTCTAGCTTATGACATATCCGCAATTCAAACAACCGGGAAAACCATTTAATTTTCTTGGGTATTTATAAACCAGCAAAATTTTCAGCAACTGTCGGCCATCCAATAAATCATCTAAATATAAGTTATGAGAAGTGAAGAGTAAATGATTGTTTCGGTAATACAATAGGAAATTTTGCAGAGTATTTGCCATCTGCCGAAAATTTCATCTTTCCTCTATTCAGCATTAAAGGATAATGCTTCACAGTAGCAGAAAAATAACCGGGAAAATTTCTTAAAGTTTTATTCCGGAAGAATGAATGTGGAAGGCTTTGAGAAATGAGCAGGAATTTTCAGGTAAACTGCAAAAAAAAAATTGGAGGAAAACATGACCGGAAATGACCGGAAAACAGACCAAGGCAAAAAAAAATCTAGTGAGAGCATTTCAGTAAAAAAGAAACAGGAAAATTTCAAAACAAATGAAGGAATTCCGGAAATGGACGAAAGAGTTCCGACAATAGAGAAGTTTTTGCAAAAGACATGAACCAGAAAAAAAGAAAAAAAACAAGAACAAGAATAAGGACGAAAACAAGAAAAAAAACTTCCGACAACAGAGAAATTTTTGCAAAACAAAAAAACAAGAACGAGAAAATTCCGGAATGAATCATGGAAGAAATATCTAAAGAAGGAAATGAGATTGGGATTTGAGTAAGATCGCTTATAGTTCAATAATCAATTTCCAATTCTTCCATGCTCGTCTCTCTCCATCCCCTTTCTCTTACGTGCTACCTGGATATCTAGTCGCGATGACGTCATTGTACGATGACGCCATGAATCACCATTACTGTGGGTCACTTCATCATTTTTGTTTCTACGTCGAACCGAATGATATGACTAAATTTTCGGAATGCCATAAATCCGGAAAAACAGGATAATTCTTGCCGGAATATCAAACTCTACGCGCAAATGTTTGTTACCTCACCTCTTTTTCCCGCCGTGACATAAACTGAAAATGGGATGGCCGAATAATAGAATTACCGGATGCGAACAAACTCGCGCAACCTGCACTGCAACCTAAAACTCACCGCACGAACCAACGGAATGCTTCTCCAGTCCATCCATAACCATTCACTTCTACCTCATTCAGGTTTTCGTCTCGAAAGTACACTTCATTTTGAAATTTACGAAATTTTTCCAGTGAAATTGATTTTAAAATGTCCTCGGAATCTATCACACTTCGTGACTGTTTACTAGCAATAGAATACAAAATTTCAGCATAGGAAACGAATTCCAATTGTAAAATTGAAATTTTTGTTGAAGTTTTCCTCAAACGAAACAACATAACAATTTTTATATTTTGAAACTTCGGCATTTCAAACCCTAATTTAAAACAAACACATAATCAATGACTAATGGAGCATTTAATAGTTTCAGCAACGTCTAATTGTCTCAGTAATAATTACAGAACTTGGCACACGTCTAATTATTCGAACTACGAAATACACCAATTTTAAGTTTTCCTTTTCAAAAATAACTTCAATTCAATTAAATTAACGATTCAATTGGATTAAGAGGAAATACTAACAGTATTTTAGAATTGAAACACCTGCGACATCCCGGTAATTTCAACTGAATAGTATGGTGACATCGAAAAACTAAACAGAATAACCCATCACCGGTATTTAACGGGCGACGTCATGACCGGAAGCTACTTTACCGTATTATTACCGTATTATGATTATATCTCAATCATAATTGTTTTCTTTTTCTTCCTTTTACTTACTGCAATTCTCAGTGGTTGTTATTTATTTTCATCGCAAATCTATATTGTTTATCATGATTTTTTCATAATTTGCTTGCCGTAATTCATTGGTTCAGGATGTAAACTTTAAGACATCATTAGTATGAATCATTAATAATATATATACTTGAGCTACTTCAGTTAACATATATTTCAGATAAACAATGTGGCCAACTCGCGTGCTATTACGCAGTGTGCGTCGAACGTATATGGAATTAGATTATGCTAGACACATGCCAAAAGAATATGTAGAAAAAGTGAAGCGTACAGTCCCTAAAAAAATCTATACCAATCGATACGGTGCACCTGATATTGTGCGTTGGACGTAGGCTTTTTTCTTCTTAACATATTGATCGGTTAAGTTAGATTCGAAACATTAAAAGTATTATTTCAAATTTCAAACCCGAGTACAGTTACTTCATATACAAGTACTCAGTTTTTTTTTTTCGAATTGGATTTTCAACAAGCGTTAAGTTAGTGAAAAGCCACGTGGCACAGATGATGTTCTTTAGTAACTTTGTAATCTTATCCCATATTATTCATTTGATTTAATTCAGTCAGTTTTTCTTTCTTATTTTTTTTGGGAGTATACAAACATATACTGTAATATTTTCCAAGTAGTGAACTGTAATATTTTCCAAAGAATATTTTATGAAACTAACATTTTTGAGTTGATTTCCTAAATCAACGAAAACATTTCCAGGTTGCATCCCGATGATTACGTACCAACCGATGGGCGTCCCTGGGAATTAGATGCATTTGAGAAAAACATACAACGAGCACATGATTATCACCAGCACAAATTAAGACATAGATTTTTCGAACTGAGGTAAATTTCTCTTTTTGTTTTTCCAGAAAAAATATTTCAAGAGAATGAAAGGTATTGGGTTTCCTTTATTTTCGATTGATTGAGTTGAATAATCCCTATATGTTCCACTAACAGTCTGAACCAAAGGGCGAATTAAAACGATTGGTTAAATGGTTAATGCTATGAGCCCCTCTTGCGAAAAGTATGTCCACTTTAAGCCTCCGAGTACCTGTATTTGCTGTAGTTATTGTTTTTTTCTTTTGGAAATTACTAGTTGTATATAAAGTATATGTCGTTTAATGTTTCGCAATATCGGATTGTATTGACGTATTTTGGAAATCAGTTATCCTTATCGTTATCATTGCGCACTGATTTGATGACGAGGAATTATAAGCTTAATTACTTTGGTTATAATAATTTATGAATTAAGATATCATTCTTTTTTTGCAAAGTCTTCAGTTTTTTATTTGTGGTTAATCTTGAACGCAGAAGTACTTTAAAAGTAATAATTTTGTCGAAAATGTTATGACGTCCAATGTTGCAGCTTTATAAAACGAATAGCTATTATGCATTTCAAATTAATAACGTTTGGATGTTGAACGGTTAAGCAAAAACCCAATACGTTTAAGCTAGCTGGATTAAACCTTCGTTATTTAGTCGAAGAAGGAAAAAATATAACATCGATGGCATTAGATTCAGTGGCGTTTTTTTCGTTAAAATTTTGGTTTTCGTACTGATAATCGACAACATTTTAAGACACGAAGAAAAGGTAGCCATTCCAGCCGAGGAATGGACAATATTTCCGGGTGATTTGGTGCAGGTGATGGTTGGCAAGGACAGAGGCAAAACTGGAGTTGTATCACATGTTAATAAGGAAACCAATGCTGTATTTGTGAGAGGGAGACATACCGTAAACTTTAATTGATATTCTTATCATAATAATCGATAACATATTAAACGGATTAGTTATTTATTACTATTAATTTCTTTACGACTGTTACAAATCTACCTTTTAAATAGATCATCTGTTGTTTCATGTAGTCCGATGATTTCCTTTCTTTGAATTGGAAATTTTTACAGAAACTTGTTAACGATTACGAAAACTTGGTTGAATGTGGCATAAATTCTATTTATCGACAAGTTGAGCAACCTCTGTATATTCATAAGGGACAAGTGAAGCTAGTCGATCCCAGCGATAAGTATGTTTGTCAGTTGAAATTTAAGTGGTTCAATTCAGTTTTTATTTTTTTTTTACTAAATTAAAGCTGAGACGTGCAGTGTTTCATTCCTTCTTTAATCGGAAATTTCTCTCCATAGTTATTCAGTGTAGTTTCTTGGTCATTTACTTCATTAAGGGCTCCACACGATTTTGTACGGGTGCTGAGAAAGAACCAATACATTAAGCGACTTATTATTTTTTTCAGTCCACCTACAGTCAACTGACTTAGTTGATGTTGTGGGCTGTTTGCCTTATTTTTTCATTTTAGTGAACCTTGCGAAGCAGATTGGGTATTAAATGAGGAAGGGAACGAGTATGTCAGAATCAGCAAAAGGTCCAAATTCCAAATTCCGATGCCACAATTAGCCCAAGCTACGTCGGAATACCTCACTGCCGATCGATATGTCGGTATGTTCGTTTAGTTTTCAAATGATTGTAAATATCCGAAACGATGACACCAGGCTCTCATGATTTTTCTGGTAAGGTATTGACGATTAAATCTTTATCTGTTAGTTCCATTGTAATATGAGATTAAAAATCGATATGTTACACCAAAAAACGTTAGTTTTTCTTTTTTTTAAAAAGCTAGAAATCCCAGGAAAACTCTGCATCAGTTATCAGATGATTTCCAGTCAATCGTCAACAATGAAAAGTTATTTGCTGAAATAGTTTACCGCATCTTTTCATTTACTTCTGTTGCAGAAGTGGATGGTAAGGATACACCTGCAGAAGTTGTCCTGGAAAAGACCTACAAGCCTGTGCTCAAATCATTTGAGGAAGAAATTGCAGATGCAATGGGTATTCAAGATAAACGTAAATTACAACCAACATACTGGTATTGAACTCGTTTTCCAGGCTGTAAAGTTTTTATGTGCAGTATTTGGTAATTGGAATTGCAGTAAATTGAATTGAAAAGGCGCATGGAATTTGGGTTATTTGAGCAAAACAAGTTGGTACGTTTATTTTTGGATTGTGCAAAATTGTCACGTATGGCTCAATTATTTGAAACTACAAGTAAAATTTTGAGTATTAGCTCGTCAGTGATGATGGTAGAGTTTTATTTTTTGCTTAAAAAATATTCAGATTCAGATTTAAGAATTGTCTTTTCAATTTTTGAACAGATTTTAGTATACGGAGATCATGCATTGCTAGTAGTTACTTGTTATCATGTTTTCATTATTGTTAATGCACATCGAGCTGAATGTGTCTTGTATAAATTAATCAGTGATAAACTGTATCATGTAATATCATGTAATAAATTTCACTGTCACATTATCATTGAACTGGGCAAACTCATCACTCAATTAAGTAATGTAACGGAAGAATGCGATATATTCAGAGCAAGATGGAAGACGAGGTATCCTCCAGTGAGGAAAAAGGAAAAACTACCGTCGTTATTTCGAATTTTGCTTTGATATTTTTTCCAATTTATCCGTAGTGGGTATATGTGATGTTTTTTTATTATATTTTTTTATAATATTCTTTATTATATAATATATTAATATTACTATCTGCTTCCAAAAACCCCTTATAACTAATTGCGATAAAATTCGTATATTAACCATAATAGCAGAGATAACTGGGTTCGTTTCCGTCTTCCTATCTATTTCAGTCTTTTCATTTTAATTTCTTGCTTTTTCACATATAAAAATGCACATTTGTGGTCAGATATGAATTTAAGGAGGATATAGCCATGCAGTTATCATCTATACAGCGATAGAATTGGTTGCTATGGTTAAAAGAATTATAAAAGTTAAATTGGTGGAAAGTGCTTTATCATGAATACAAAAGGGAGTATAGTATAATGGAAATATAGTACAATGAAATTCCCACTTCCCTTGATTTTTTCGCTTAGATTAAGGCTTCATCTGTAGTTGATTTCCCTGATGGCTGTTTGACGTATCAATGTTTGTTCCTGTTTCGTCAAAATAATTTTGTATGTCATTCTTACCGTTTCTACGATTTTTTCCCGATTTTTTGTAAATTCAAAGGGATTAGATAAATGATAATTCAGCTGTACGCTTTTTAGAATTATTTTTGACGTGATGAAATGTGGGGTGTGATAAAAGATCTTAAATTTACCTAATTTATCTTGAAAATCAGCTGAATTTGAAACTACAGACTGAAATTACATTCCCACTCTTTGGTATACTCTTCGAATATCCTTGCCTTACATAGCATATTCCTGTTTGGTAATTAAAATATCACATAAATATACCAAAACCTGTAAGAATCAATAGTACTTTTTTGGCCAAAGTCACAGATCGCTGTCCTATATTTTTTTGGGAATTAGAAAATTGCGATTATGAAAACTGGAATTTGAAAATATAAATACCCGGAAAAAAAAACCCGAAGTAAAGAGGATCAATTAGTAACTACTACATATTTATCTTCAAAAATTCGTTAAACCCATATTTCCCTGAAAGATTTCATATCATCTTCAGGATAATACTGTTGCCTTGAATAACAATTCCTATACGCTACAAGTTCAATCTGTTTTTGCTTTCGTATAAAATTTGTTATCTCTTATCTTTTTTTTTTGGAAACTTTCAAGATATGCTATTGTATATTTTTCTACTCAACAGTATGACACATGAAAGAATATGGACACATACAGTATGACATAAATGAAATAATTTTCATAAACATAAATGTAAAATTGATTTTCTATATATCTTATCTTCAATCAATATCAGCTATTGTCTCCAATCATTCTTAAATTTCCAACAACGACAAGAAAATTTAAATCATTTTTTAGACATTGATATTCAATTCAACTTGCAAAATGATAACGATATTTTGGAATAATTAGAAATGAAAAGGACAAATCATTAAACCATACAAAGAAGGGTATGTATATGTTGATTCATTCAGTCATCATTTCATGATCAAATCCCATAAATTCATAAATATTATCATTTTTGTAAATGTTTATTGATCGATTTTGAATATAAAGAAAATGTCGTAAATCTGGTTCAACAATTCGTTCCTCGCAAACAATCTTCTCTAAACGCCTAATTTTTTCGGATGTCCCTGAAATAAGGAATGAAAGAATAGAAGAAAAAAAGAAAAAGAAAGCATTGAAAAATACATTTAAATGATATTGTAATTTACATAATTATTGGAAATCAGAAATGTTTCCCAATTCATTTATTGAAAATTATAATTTTCCATTTATAAATTTGCAAAAAAAAAAAAAAAGAAAAAAAGAATTTTCATCTCTTTTTTATTTTTTATTTTTTTCAAAGAGAAAGAGAAAGAAAGAAAGAAATGATTAGTTGATAATAAAGGAAATGTGTAATGTATAAAAATGAGTACAAAAAGATTGATTAGATGGGATTTCAACTGTCAACTATTATCAATATTATCATTGTTATTGTGAGCAATACATAAATTTAAAACAAATATTTTTAAAATGATGAAAGTATATTACACCTGGAAACAGAACGTTAATTAACCTAATTAATTGTCATAAATAAAATGAAAATAATCTAAAAGTACAACAATTTACTATCACATATTTTACCTTATTTATTTATAATAAACAATTATTAATTGCTTAAAATTTCCTGTACAAATAAATCAATCAATCATACCAGCTATGAAGAACATATATGGTGGACAGTAATTTGGCTTGTCATCTCTTAATACTTTCCTCATTTGAGCATTTGGTAAATTAAATGTTCTCAAATGTTTCCAAATTTCTTCCATTATTTCTTCACTTCCTTCGCTTGACATGAAGAAAAGAATGGCTAACAAATTCATTTCCATTTCTCTGAATTTCATTCTTTTACTTTTCTTCCGCTTTTTTTTTAAAAATCATTTTTATTTTTTTCAGAAATAAAAATTTTCAAACTTTTAAAAAATTTCTTTTTTAAAAATTTTTTCTTTTTGCAATTTAAAATTTCCAAATTTTAAAAAATTATTGACAAAATTCGATCCAATTTTTTTGTTTTTTATCTTTCGTTTTTTTCGTATTTTAGATGATAAATAAAAATTTGAAATAAAATATGAAATCATTCCTAAAACATATATCACAGAAATATTAAACAAATTTGAAAAAATATGATTAATAGAAAATCCAGAAAATAGCTTTAACTAATGGATGGAATAAAATAAAATGACTGATATCGATCAGATGGATATCTAATAGTATGAGTGATAAGTACTGCTGTTATCACAATAATAATTCATCAGGTAATTCCGGTAAATCTTGATGAAGTTACATTTAATTAATTGTTGACTTGATACATTTGTAGTTAATTTAATTTCATTTACTCAACGATAACACTATGTTATTCGACAATTATCATTTCAATTTATGCTTAACATGCGGGACTTTTTTTTTCCAAAAATGTTAAATGAAAAAATGAAAAATTTTGAAATTTAAAACAATTAACATACTTATATAGTTGTAATAATTCATTTAGACAAGCCAAAACCTCATCATTAACACATGTTAAGGTTGGCATCATCATACTCCAATCCCAATAAATATTTTTCATTGCTGGGAAAACATTCTTTAAATGTTTTAAAAATCTCATCCCACTATTTTCAACACCAGGATGTACACCTTGTGCAACAACAAATTCAACCGCAGAATTCAATATTTTTGTATTCTCAAATGTTTCTACCTGAAAAGAAAAAAAACAAATTAAAAAAAAAGTAACTTATTTGAAATGAAAATTATCAAAATATCCTTTTCATTCTTTTAATAGTATCATTGATAGCTTTTAATCATTCCTTCCTCATTCATTCACTCTTCCCTTCATTAATTTAAAATAGAATTTATTCATTGACAAATACAAATTATTTGATAATTTTTTAATTTGAAAAATGTCGATATATTCAATAATATAAGACGGAAGAATAATTTTACATTTTGAGATAACATTTGCATTTTGTGAAAAAAAACATAAAAAAAGCTCGAAAAAATAAAACTTTATTTAAAATCTTGGTAATAAAATAATTTTTATACAAAATACTTTTAAAAAACAATTTTTTTTGTAAAATATTTTCTTTTAATAAATTTTTAAATGGAAAAAAAATGCATACACACACACACACACACACATATATACACACATATACACATCTACCTATACATACATATATAAAACTAACATTTATACCAGGATATCGGTGAAATCGCACCAATCGTACATTTAAATTTTTAATAACCAATTCAATTTCCTTCGTTGGACAACTTCCATTTAAATCAATTAAACGAATCTGAAACATACAGGAAAAAAACGAAAAAAAGTTTCTTATTTCTTTAAAATTTAAATAAATTTATAAGTGATAGTTTTATTTATGGCTTCTTTTTTTTTCTTGATTAAATTATAATAAGGGGACTCTAAATGATATATTGGCCAATGATTGCACAATTGAGTATTACTATGACAAAGAATATCATATTAGTTATTGAATTTATCCAATGATTAAATTATCAATGATTACATCATATCTCTAATATTATTAAAACTTCATTTCAAGATCTTATCATATCATAGCAATAGATAATATAATGAATGAATCATATAAAGGTATGATAAAGATATTTTCGTGAAATTTCAAATAAGCAATAAAGACATAAAGATAAATTAAGAATTTTATTTATCGCACTAATCGTACATTTAAATTTTTAATAACTAATTGAATTTCCTTTGCTGGACCAACTTCAATTTGGGTAAAATGTTTGGAATAATTTATGATGTAATAAGTTGATCAGTTTGTGTTATCAAATTCTTTTGACCATTTTGTGACCATTTTGTATTACCAATTTTTTTTTAATGTATTATTAATCGAAATTCTTTCTTAATCAAATTCATTTATTAATTTTATCAATTTGTCTAATATGTAGGACGAAAAAAAGAACCTGTATATCTGAAAGCGCCGGGAATAAACCTTCAAACTCTTCATCACTAGTACCTTTCTGTTGACTTCTATAGGAAAATGCAGTTAATAAAGATGTATGTGATAATAGAAATGCTATATCTGAAATTTCCGCATCTGATTCACTCACAAGCAAATAGCGCAAATCGGAAAGAAATCCTCGAACCTAAAATATTGACGTATAAAAGAAAAAAAAAAGGAATCTTAAACTGATAATATTTTACGATCATTTAAAGAGAAAAAAAATTTTTAAATTTAATATTTCGTTAGAAAATTTCATAAAAAAAATTATTTTATAAATTTTTAAAAAGTATTAAAATATACATTTGAATTAATAGAAGAAAAGGAAGGACGATAAAATTTGATAAATTAAATTTTTGAATTTTTTTTTCCTATTAATATTTACCGTTTCATTGCTAACTTCTTTTAATGCAGCAACCAATTCATTCAGTGGATTCTCAATGAATAGAACTTCAAGTATAGCTGGACCTAATTTACTTAATGCAATTTTAGTTTTCACTAGCACTAGATGACCCGCTGTACTGATTTGTCGATTAGGATCTTCACCCATTCTTTTTGCATGTTTAACTCTCCATAATAACGAATTTTCTCGTAATAAACCAATTTTTTCTTCTCTTATCCATACCGTAAATTGATCCTTTCTTATTGTTTTTTTAGCCATCTTAAATGAAAAAGGAAAGAAAAAAATTTACATTTATCACCATATAAAATAATATTTGCAACATAAATATATTTGAAATTTAATAAATGAAAAACTTAAAAAATTATCAAACAATAAGAAGCAAAAGTACAAAATTGCAAAATTTTCCTTTAATAAATTTACACATTTACAAAATAATGGAAGAAAAAAAATTGCTATTTTCTTTAATTTAAATCTCATTTTTTTTAGTAAGAATTATCATTGATATTGTCCAAAAATTTCTATCATTCAATATATCATTTTGATAAGATATCATTATAATTTCAGAATTTGAAAAAAAAATGAAAAAATTCATTTTTAGTATAATTGAAAAAAAATGAAAAAAATCAGTTTCTATGAATGAATTTTGAAATTTATGAAAATAGAAATTAAAGACAAATGTTTGGGAATAATTCTAACGAATTGACAAACCTTTACAATAGCAATGATGCTTGCAAGAACTAACTATCTACATATAAACCTATGCATCGATCGTTGATCTTTGATTACTTATGTCAATCTCACCTCCATTTTATACTTAATTTGACCTTTAACATATTACTTCTTTTCCTTCATGATCTGTTCATTGCTGCAAATACTGAAATATTCGAAAAGAAAAAAAAAACAAAAAAACAATGACCTACAGAAAATTCCTCTACTAAATTAGGCGAAAAGAACCTTAATAGGTATCTTTTACCGGAATTCAACATATGCTCAGAATTTAAACGCATTGCATTTGAGAATAACCGGAATTTGTATCATAGCGTTAATTACTGAGGAGTAATTCAGAAAATATTATTTCTATATCATACAACAGAATATGAAACTCATAATTATAAACTGTTCCTGGAAATTTTCAGCTATATAATATGCTACGTTTTCTGATGTATAATCCACTTCCGGTATTTTATTTCATTGAATCCTTATCCGAAAAGTGGTGTATACAGGAAACAATTATGTATCAGCTTTCTAGAATGGCTTCATACCGTAAACTGTTTGAGTTTAATATTCCGTTCGTTTTATCCATTCAAAATAATGATCGATATGAATCCAACACTCTCTATGAACAAATTCCGGAATGAAACACTTTTTGTCTGTAACGTTTTATCTTTCCGGATTTTCTACTTTTTTATTCTTTATAGTCTTTATACCACTAACACCTTTAATGAGTGAGTACCATTTCTTACTCATAGAATTAAAAATGACAAAAACATAAGCAAATTATCACTTGATAAGCTATAATTTTATTGTTTGTTTATAAACATTGCAAAAAAAAAGCAAACTATCTGATATGAAAGATATTAATTAGCAGTTAAACAATATTACACTATCTATTAATTTCTTCCATTTTCTTCATTATCTTTGATCTTTCAATAAGTGTTTCGCAATCGATAATTAATTTAACGGTTTTATCCTTTCAATAATCTTAAATTAAAGCCTTCTTCTTTTTTTTCTAAAAATGATCCATTTTTACGATATTATTGCAACATACTTTAAATCATAAGTTCTTTCGAAGAATTTCAACTCATCCTGATGTCTTATTTCAGAAATTTTACAAATTTTTAAAAAAGATGATATAAAATAGAAGAATACCATAGCTGTTTTCCTTCCAGAATTTCAATCATACATAATCATTCATTGATACCATGCATAGATATGCTATCTTGATATTGTTCGATGTAATACAATTTTCCCATCAACCTGATTTATTTTCTGAAAAATAATTATCCATCCAGTTAATTTCGATATTTCGTTGTATAATACGGATCGATTCCGGTTTGTTTCATGAAACTCCGTCCATTATCCTGATATATACTAATTCGGTTAAAAGTTCTGGAAGTACTACTATTCCAACAAAATATATCATCGATGTTTGTATGAAAAATGATATTTTATTTGAAAATTCCTTTATAATATGTAAAATTATAAACCTTTTGACCGGTGAATAGGTTAATAGGAATAATTTCACTGTTGTCATTCCGGACTGCTTCCGTTTCATCGGTATATCAATGTATGCAGCGTATAGCGGTTTCATCTTTCGCATGGCGAAAATTATTATCAGGTTATTATCACCGGAAATTATCATCAATTTTGCATGGCAGAAATTATCATTATTATCATTATCATTAGAAATATCCCATATCATACGCATTACCGCAATTTGAACATTTTCTAATATCTGGAAATATATTTTATAAACCAAGCTATTTGGACAGAATGCTACATTTAATAAAATTTAAGTTCCGAAATTAATTAAATTCCGATGGGAGATTTTTGCTAATAAAATCTAATAGATTCATTATTTGTAACAACATCACATAATCTCAATAGCATTACACAGTTTTAATGGAATGTTATTTATATTATAATATTATAATCTTTCATCTATCCGCAAGCTTGGGTAATGCAGTGATACTTCACTGAATGCTTGCCCGAATGTAAAATAACTATTACCCAGAAATTATCCACAGTTATCCAACTTGATCTTCACATATATGTTTCCACTGATTTTATTTGTTGCCTTATAAAAATAGGATTTGTTGAAAACAAAAAGTTCCGCTAGTTAATTTGATCAATGGTTTTCAAATGAATGCTTCAAATCAATCCCATCCCAATAACCAGTTTTTAAGTTTTTAGGTTTTAATAGTTGGATTAAATGTTCACCTAAAATAGCCAATCGATCAATTGGAGATGAACAATGAATTCAAGTATTCAGGCTATCCAGTCTAAAATTAGTTCGAAATGTTTCACTCAGACAGTCAATTGATGTCACTAAACTCCTTCGCTTGCTCATTTAACTGGTAGAACTGAAACATTTCATCAAATTTCAAACCAGGTCTTCAAGCTCAACTTATTTAGTTCTGGTGAGTTATCTGGCTCAACTTGTTCAATTCTGGTGAATTATCTGGCTCAACTTATTCAGTTCTGGTGAGTTA